TGCTATTTACCCATAGCTGGGGGAAAAGAAGAGGGTTCATACCTTTCCCAAGGGTATTAGCACGTAAGTGAATGCAATGGATAAGCTTGGAAAGTCAGTCAATCAGTTATGTGCCATGCGTGATACACGCTTAGGCGATCATGTATCTTTCGATACATGACTGACGAGGCAGATTTTTTTTATTAGCACGTAAGTGAATGTAATGGATTCGAGTGGATTTCGCACTCGTCTCTCCGATTCCTCAATCCAAGCCGCTTTCTATTACTCCACCGTAAAGGGATGATAACAGATTTTGATCTTGGTCCTCACTGGGTGCCCTGTGACGTTGTATCAAACAAAAGAAAGCTGGATTGACAGTTCTTAAAACATTCTTGGATAAAAATCATCAAAAGCGAATCCCTGAAGAATTATCCTTGTTAATTTTGTGTTTATCTTTCTTCCCAATTAGTCGGTTCGTGTTCGTTTATATTTGTTTTCGATATGTCTCTCTTCTTTTCACGTTTGTAAACTTGTTGATTATAATCCTCTTTAAATCGTATAAATGTCCCTTCAGTTGTCTTTGGCTTAAAGGATTACAAACAATCTAATTTGTAGTGGCTGAAAGCTGTTTAATCATTTTCTTGATAACGAACCTTCTCCTCATTTAAAAGATTTTTTATTTGTTTCTTCGGTTTAGATTTTAATGCTCAGGAATACCTGACGGCTCAAATTGTCAGATTCAAAATTGGTGAACGATTATCTTTCGTCCCAATTCGCCGAGTTCGAATTCCAGTCGAGTTCGTTGCATTTACTTACGTGTAAATATACTTGGAAAAGGTATAAATACTTGTCTTCTTTCGCCCCCCCAGCTATGGATAAATAGCAGGACAGACTGGTTCCTATGGTTAGCAATCAGTCTAGGAGAAATGAAACTCTGAATTCAAAGCCTAAGAAAGGTTGTTTGGAGAATCATCTATGGGTTAAATAGTAGGAATTGTATCTGGAAAAAAAATTGTCATCTTTAAAAACGTGTTAATGCAATTAACAATGGAAAAAATTATTCTTACAATCCAAAATGTGTTTTGGCTTTAAATAAACCACAAAGGGTTGATAATCCGTAAAAAACAATCAATCAACCTGTTGCTGCCTGGTTTTATGGGACCATAAATACAAAAATGTTCAATCATTTTCTTGATAACGAGTTCAGGAAGACGACGAGAAAAGAGACTTCTAATACTTACAGTTGCATTTCGCTATTTCAGCAATATAGCAGAGACCTAACAGCCAATCTAGTTCACAGCGTCGAAGTACCACGGAGGAGAGATCATTAGAACAGCTTCCATAAAAATATTTATAAAATAGATAGAGAGAAGTCACGTTATGGCAGTGGTAAAGTGATTGAAGTCGAGATGCCAGGTCAAGACCGATAACATTACAGATCCCAAACGTCCAACCCTAAGTCCCGAGCTATGGTGTCTGGGAAAGTCAATTTAAGTCAATTATAAAGGTATTTTTTAGTGCAGCTATCTGTTATACCTTGTTGGAATTTTTGGACATGGTATTAAAAGAAGAGTAAGTATATTATCTGATGAGGAATTAGCATTATTATATACTTGTAATATTGTCATTATGTTACCAGATGATATCAACATTATCGTATAATTATTATATTATCAATTGAGGAAATATCACTAGGTTTCTGGGACACATAATGAGGAAGGAGTGCCTGGAGAATCTGATACTCACGGGTCGAATAGAGGGAAAGAGAGACAAGGGAAAACAATGTGTGACATACCTGGCGGGCTTAAGCAAGTGGATGACAGAACGTGGTATGGGGGAGGAAAAAGAGGGAAGGAACTTGTTGAGAGCTGCAAAGGATAGAGGGTGTGGAGAGCTATGATCACCTACGCCCTGAAAGGGCATGGCACATGAAAAAAAAGAATATTATCATTATATTAGCATATGATATCAACATTATCGTATCAGATTAATATATTATCAACTGAGGAATTATCACTATTATTATTATGTTTTGTTATTCGAACCAACATGTTTATTATGGGTTTATGCATAGCTTAATGTTGGTTAAAACAACTCTGTTTTCTTGATTGTTGTGGGTTCAATCCCTGGGTGTAGTAGCCCTGAAAAGTCGCATATTCTGGTTCAGGGCCAGAAACGAACAAGCGACACAAAAGTGGATACGACTAGTAATTGTTTTTTCAGTAATGTTTACCCTGTTCAAGGCTCAATAGCCACACAAGGTAGAAGAGTGTAAAGGGGCACAGTTTATGCGGTTATATGAGGAAGATAACCGTTAACTGACTTCTGTCTCCTTGTGTCCTGTTTTCTTATTGACGTCTCTATTTCTTTCCCTCTCAGTAACCCCTTGCATCACAGTGAATTTTGTTGCATTGATTTGTTTTGCATTTCTAGAGAAAACTTAATTTTTCAAGAATATTTTTTCATTTTATTGTTCTTCGACGACTCGACATATATAAGCTTTCTAACAATTTTGATATCTGATAAATTTGCTTGATTTTTTAGAGAACTTGTCAATATTATTTGACGTCATATTATTTCAGCGTCTAGGCAGTTATGGCGCATTTCTTTTCTTTATTACTTGTGAATTGTTATGCTTTCTTAGTAAAGATATTGGACTGGTTTTCCCGTTGCTTTCTCCAGAGTTTTAAAATCATAGTTTTCGTTCTTTGAAACTGTTACCCAAATCTAAGAAGAAAGAAAATATGAATGAAAAGGATAAGAAAATAAAAAATACGAACTAATAGAAAATAAAACGTGGAGAAAGAAAGAAAGAAAGAAAGAAAGAAAGAAAGAAAGAAAGAAAGAAATCCAGAAAAAGAAAGAAAAAGAAAGAAAAAAAATAAAAAAAAAGAAAGAAAGAAAAAGAAAGAAAGAAAGAAAGAAAGAAAGAAAAGGAAAATAAGAGTGCAAAGAAAGAAAGAAAGAAAGAAAGAAAGAAAGAAAGAAAGAAAAAGAAAGTAAAAAGCAGCTATGAAATAAGAAAGAAAGAAAGAAAGAAAGAAAAAGCAGCCATGAAATAAAGAAAGAAAGAAAGAAAGAAAGAAAGAAAGAAAGAAAGAAAAAGAAAGAAAGAAAGAAAAGGAAAGTAAGAGTGCAAAGAAAGAAAGAAAGAAAGAACAAAAGAAACAGTGGAAAGAAAGAAAGAAAGAAAGTAAAAAGCAACCATGAAATAAGAAAGAAAGAAAGAAAGAAAGGAAGAATGAAAGAAAGAAAGAAAAGGGAGCACAGAAGGAAGAAAGAAAGAAAGAAACTGTAAAGAAAAGTCAGGAAATGACTGGAAAAAATGTAAAAAGGAAAAACATAATGAAAAAAAAAGAAAAAAATTCCGCCCTCAATTAAACGCTTTCCAGCCGACACAGCTTGAGATTGGCGCAAAAAAAGGACCAATTTCACCTGAAACTCTCTGTGCAAATCAATACTGACAAGTGCTCATTTCTCTCCGAGACAATAAGACGAGTGTTGTTCCTTCTTTCGCGTGTTGTGACCCTGTGATTGACTTTTGCGTGCCAGGGGAGGGGCGGGGGTACAGGAACAAATTCATTAAAGCAGAGAGGGGGGAATACGAAAGAAATGACCGCGAATCAGAAAGGTGATTTGAAATTCGTAATGTTAAATGGATTTTAAAATCCCAAAAGAGAGAGGAATGAAAGAAAGAAGAAAGGATATAAAAAACGAAAGACGAAGACAGAAATAAAAGAGATCAAAAGAAAGAAAGAAAGAAAGAAAGAAAGAAAGAAAGAAAGAAAGAAAGAAATGGTTTCAGATGAAAGAAAAGAGATTTAAAAAAAAAGGAAGATAATCCTGAAAAAGAAAAACGAATAAGAAGAGAAAACAAAAGATATTATGCTCTTAAGAATATGTCGATATCGTGGATTTTACAAGTATGCAGCGAATATTGTACCACTTTGAGTGCCTATTGGGACATAAAACACATCCATCCGATCCATCGTTGGGAACATCGAGGTGGTTTAATGATTAGCAAGCATCTCTCGCTACATCACTTACGACTGAGTAGTGAGTACGATTCTCTTTAGGTGCTCCACACTTTCGGCCTTGTGCCACATCTAAGCTACACTTAGAAAATCATTAGGGCACTTTGACGTGGTGTAATGGTGAGCAAGCTTGTCTCACTAGATCACTTACGACTGAATACTGAGTTCGATTTTCACTGGGTGCCCCACATTTTCGGCCTTGTGCCACATCTAAACTAAGGAAATCACTATACGATCTATTGGTAAAGGTAGTGGAATAATGGCCGGTTCCTTGTACTCCAGTAAGTACCTGACTACTCCTGCTATCCTCTTTCTTTACATAAGCCAGATCAGGGAGAAAATGGAGTACTGCTGCCATATATGGGCAGGAGCTACTTAGTACTCACTTTCCAGCCTCGATAGAGTCCAAAAGCATCTCCGCGTCCTTTTGGGTGATGAATTATCTTCTACCCTACAGCCCCTTTCCCACGGGCGAAACGTCGCAAGTCCTTTCACTGCTCTATCGCTATTTCCATGAAAAGTGCTCAGACGAACTACATTCTTTTATTCCACCAGTTCTAACCTTTACGGCTAGGACCCACCATGACAAGCATATTGTAGCTGCTCTGTGGAACCGATGCTTGCTCGATCACTACAATCTTAACCTGTCCAAGTCTAGGGTTAACCGTTATCTTCCCCACATATCCGCATAAACTCTACCGCTTACTCTACAACGCTCTACCTTAAGCGGCTCTTGGGCCTTGTACAGGGTGAACATCATTGTAAAAATTCATTATCATTATAATGTTAAATAACAACATTTAGTATAACATACAAGCTTTATTTTTTCAATAACATACATTATACGGTTTGTTTGTTTTTGCAGTGTAAAGCAGCAAAACATTTAAGATGCCATAAAATCTTTATTTCTGATTACAGAATAAAAAACATAAGACATCCACCGACATAATTAAAACCCTTCGAAATTACTACAATCATCGCCATCTTATGCAAAGAGCTCATCATAAACATCGGCATTCTTTGTTTCCTCGTATGGATCCTAATCGCTTCTCTTATACTACGGATATCAGGTGAAATCACGAAAATGTACCTAGATTTGGGGTCTCGTCTTATCCATAGGTCTCATTACACGTAAAAATATACGTTATATATATATATATATATATATATATAAAGGGAAGAGGTTATAGTAGTTCCAGCGAAAGAAAAGTGTGCATATTAAAAAGAAGAGAGAAACCGCAAACGTTTTCGGTTGTAATGTGGATATTTTTTTAATATATTATACTTTATTTTCCATAATTTTGCTACACGGGTTTCCGGTATCGCGACCTCCATCAGGCAAAGAATTGATATTTCCACATATTATTAAAAGGAATTATATATATATATATATATATATATATATATATATATATATATATATATATATATATAGAGAGAGAGAGAGAGAGAGAGAGAGAGAGAGATCCGTATATTTTTCACGAGTGTATATATATTTATATATATATATATATATATATATATATATATTTCCATATATATATATATATATTTATATAGATAGATAGATAGATAGATAGATAGATAGATGGATGGATGGTTCCCCACACGAAAACATGGACAAAAGTACATATAAACATATCCGCAAATCCTACGTTTTTAAGTCATTAAGTTTAACCTTTACGGTAGACCTTGTTAAATGTAATATCCAAGATATAGTTCAAAAACACTTTTACAAACTTTGGTGGTGGGTTCTTGACACCAAAACAAGGTAAAATATCCACATAAATATACGGCTAAAAGGTCATCGTTGTACCTCAACACTGCAACTTACAAAAAAATGTTCAAAATGTCCCCCACTTTCTTCTAGACACGCATGCACTTGTCGGATCAATGACTGCTGGACACTTTCAGATACTCTAACACGGTGTCGAATGGTTTCGCAGGCCCCCATGACACGTTGATGAAGCGTCTCTGCATTATTATTATCTGCTGCACAAATCAATTGTTTTAGGTGGACCCACAGATAAAAAGCATTGAGGTCGCTGGAACGTACAGGCCATGAAACTGATCCATCTTTCATGCTAGATATCAGCCAGTGTATCATGAACAATGCGACTAAAATGTGCTGGAGCTCCATCATACATGAACCACACGCGTCTTCGCATTAGCAGGGATACATCCTCTAGCAGGTTTGGAAATGCGTTCGAAATAAAGTCCTTGTGGACAGCTCCTGTAAGACCTACTAGACAGTCACGTACGATTCCAGCCCACACATTAATCGTAAACTGATGTTAGTATCTAGCCTTCATTGTATCATGGGGATTCCGATCCGCCTACAAATGTTGGTTGTGTAAATTTGGCATTAACCATTGACAAAAGTTCTCCCTTAGTGAATGATCACTGGGTCAAACCAATGCTTTTATCTACTGGGCCATGTGTCCAATGGATAAAAGCGTTGGTTGGATCCAGTGACTTGACCCAAAGAGTTGTGAGTTCAATACCTGGCTACTGCAGTGGTGAACAAAAACTTGGATTATTCTCCTGCTTTCTAATCTGACTCGGCTTCTAAGCTCTCTCTCTCTCTCTCTATATATATATATATATATACACACACTCTTTTCTTTCCCTTTCTTTTCTAACTTATTTTCTTCTTCTCTCACTCCACCTCCCTTCTTTTTCAACTTTCTATTTTTCTTCTTCATTCTCCCCCCACCGCAGTTTCTTCTTTTACTCTCTCTCTCTCTCTCTCTCTCTCTCCTTTACTTTCTTTCACTCTCTCTTTCTCTCATTTTATCTGTTTTCTTTGTACTTTTCCACACTCTCTCATTTTCTATTCTTTCTCCTTTCTTTATATTTCATACTTTTCTCCCCCCTTCCCCTCCTCCTCTCTCTCTCTCTCTCTCTCTCTGCGTCCTCTTGTTTGCATCTCTCCTTCCACTTCCATTTTATTTCAGTCTCCCATCTCTCTTTCTTACCTGCTTTATACTCTCTCGCTTTCTTCTCTTTCCTCTCTCTCTCTCTCGTTCTCCCTCTCTCTCTCTCTAAACTCTCCCTTAGCTTTCTTTCCCCTACACTTTACTTATTTTTTTACTATATTTTTCTCCATTCACTCTCTATTTCCTTTTATATTTTTCTCTTTCTCCGCACCCCCTCTCTCTCTCCTTCTTCTCCTTCCCCACTCGCTGTTTTCATTCTACATTCTCTCTTTCACCCTCTTCGTTCTACACCCGCTTTCCCGTTTTCTCTTTTACTGTCCCTTTCTCATTCTCTCTCTCTCTCTCTAAAGTCTATTTTTATCTTTCCCATTTCTCTTTTTTTTCTCTCCTCCTACACACTTTTACTTCCTATACATTCCTTCTTTCTCCACTTTTTTTTCTTCCTCACTCAGTCTTTCTTTCCATATATATTTTTCTCCCCCTTCCACCTTTCTCTCGCTATTCTCTCTTTCCTTCTCTACTCTCTCTCTCTCTCCTCCCACTCTGTCACTGTCTTTCTCGAACTTTTCACATCGTCATGCACAATTATCGTGCACATTTACATGTTCAGAGTTTTCATTGGGGCCTCAAGGCTGGTAAGGTGATTGTCTCCAAAATCTCTCGCTGGCTCCAGTGACTGGTTAACGAGCCTTGGAAACATGTTGCATAGTTGTCTCTTCTTCTTCCCCAGCGAACCACGTTTGCATGGAATTCAAATGCCACTTACCCGGACGATACTTGCATAAAAAGTATCTATCCAAATATCAAAAGGCACTTGACTGGACCTAACTTCTTTTTCTCGTACAATAGCAACGAAAAAAAAAAGAAAAAAAAAACACTGTCAATCCTCATTGGGCAATCTTCAGCAAATCTAATAGGACCGAAGTGAAGCATTTTTTTTTTTTAATAAGACCCAATTCAAAAAAAAAAAGGGTTTGCGTTGTGGTGTAATAGAACCGAATGGAAATCGGAGAGACGAGTTCGATTTCCAGTCGGGTCCGTTAAATTTACTTACGCGCAAACACCCTTGGGAAAGGTATGAACCCCATCTATGGGTAAATAGCAGGACACACTCGGTTCTATAGCCTTGGTTGCCAACCAGTCTACCGCAGAAAGAAACTGCAACTTGCTGCGGTAAACTTTCCCATCTCGTCGGTCATGAATCAAAAGAGACATATTATCGCCTAAGTGTGTATCACGTTAAGTCGTTTAACTGCCTGACTATTGTTATCATGGTTGAATAGCAGGATAGACTGGGTCCTATTGCCTTGATTGACAACCAGTCTATCGCAGAAAGAAATGGCAAACTACTGCAACAAACTTTTCTGCCTAGTCAGTCATGAATCGAAAAAAGACGTGATTGCCTAAGCGTGTATCACGTGATGGCAGTTAGACGAAGTGAATTCCAAAGAACAATCAAGAAAGAGAAATGTTTGAAATCAAATCCGAACGGAAAATATGTTGCGAATTGAAAGTAAAAAAAAAAAAACGTTAAGGAGGAAAATTAACTGAACAATACAATGACCCACTCTTTCATTGTAACTGACCATTTTGAAATTTGAAATCGGCTCTCAGATCTCTTATACCGAGCCAACATCCATTACACCATCCACATATCGTACAAAGAATTTTAAAAAGTCGATACATTGATAAATGAATATATATGAAAGTATATTCTTAATGATCTATATTCTTCTTCAAGATAGAGAGATAGATAGATAACAAAAAGACTGCGATAGATAGATAGATAGATAGATAGATAGATAGATAGATAACGAAAAGACTGAGATAGATAGATAGATAGATAGATAGATAGATAGATAGATAGATAGATAGATAGATAATGAAAAGACTACGGTAGATAGAATAGGGTTGTATTGTTCCATTTTTTTCTTAACAGCCGAGAAGTAATATGTTGGCATTGGGTGTAAATAGTTCCTTATAACATCAAACGACAGATCCATGAATAACACTGACAAAAAAAGCGCTCTACTCATACAATAATTAAAAATATTTTTTATGTGTCTAAAAATGTTCTTTTTTTTAAGTACATGCAACATGATCGTTAGAATGTCACGTTTTTCAATGGTTGTTTCTCCCTTCCACTCATAAACCTTTTAGTTTTACTTAATTAAGAAAAATAATTTTTTTTGGGGGGGGTAAATTTTTTTAAGTTTCTTTATTCTTTTATTCAAAAGTTATAATTTTGATTTAAAAAAAAACGTTTGAAAGGTAACCCTTTATTTTTTTTAAACCTAATATTCAGTTGAATTAATTTTATACTTTATTTTATTTACATTTGAAATAAGTTATCTTTTCTCATTTTATTTTTATGACTGGTACCTCCACTAATTCCCGATACCTAAGTTTTAAAAATGAATTTAAAAAACAAAACTGAAAAAGCTTTCATTTTAGCTTTAATTGAAAGCTAAATTATTAAAAAAATAAATTTTCTATTTCCAGTAACTAAAATTCTCTGGTGTATATCAAACAGAAATTATATATATTTTTAGAATGTTTTTTGTAATTTTTTTTTTATTAGTAAATAAAGCGATAAAAAAATCTTGCCATTTTTTTGTAAACAACAATTAATTCTCGTCTTTAAAAAAATTTTAAAATACAATAAATTTTTCTGAAACGCTGAGGAAAATTAGAAAATTTAGATTTAAATATATCTGATTTGAAACAAAAAAAATTAATGTGTACAGGCTGACGCAAAAAAAAAATTAACCAAAATTTCGAACGTGGTAGGAGGGATTAAAAAACTTAAGGGTAACTCAATAATTTATGAAATATTATTAATTTAAGAAATTTTTATGATATTCTAAATTTTATTATATTTTCAAGAAGCATCTTCAATCATAAGGTTATGTACCTAAAAAAATCAGTAAAATTTTAGATAATTACTTAAAATATCTTGTTATTCTTTTTGAAATTACCTGGTAGTTAAAAAGAAAAACAAACTGTTTTTACTTAGAATTCGTAAATTTATGTCAATTCTGGTCCACCATATTTAACTTGTCAACACCTTCGACCATCAATATATCGATGGAGACGTGAGAATAACAAGACCCCGTGGTCATCAAATGCATGTATAGAAAATTTTATGCTGTAAGTAATATTTGTTTCAGAACAGATTAATTTGATTTTAAATTTGCTAATTTTCCGAAAATAACGTTTGAGAAATTTTATTTTTGCAAGATTTTTAAAACCGAAAATTAAGTTTTGTTTACAATCTGTTAAAAAATTAAAAATGGCCGTTTCGATTGTGTTTTTTTTTAATGAATATACTAAAACTCATGCTAATTTCTATTTGAAATAAACCACAGTATTTTGCTTTCTGAAATTAGAAAATGTAACCTTTAGCTTCCAATTTAGGCTAAAAAGAAAACTTCAAGAATGATTTTTAATTTATGAAAATACATTTAAACCTTACCTACTTTAGAGTGATGAGTGAGTTCTTTGGCGTAACAAAATGTTCGTTAATAAAGCGGATACTGATAGCAGTCTGGAGAAATATCCGTTTCGGTAGTTTGAAACAAGACCACAGTAGGGGTAGTAGTAATGTCAGAAATTAGGTCAGATGTCTATCTGCTGATTACTTTTTGGCTCCGAAACAGGGCGAAAATGTCAATAGAAAATGACCTCTTGACTTCTTATTCACGCGTCACGCATGGCAGCGTTCTTTTGTACCACCCTCTCCTGGGGTCGTTCTGGTCTCCTCTCTGCCTTTCTCGGTTGCGCTAGAGGTGTAAGGTTTTTAGATTTGGGAATAGCTTCGAGAATATGATACAAACATCGTTTTGGCTAACTCAAAAGTCTCTTTGAGTCAATTTTTTTGATTGGCCAAAGTATTTTACTTTCCGGCGTTCCTTTCTTTTTCACTTTTCTTATAACGGGAGTTATACGGGGAGCCTTCCTCATTGTACGTCTTGGGTATGATGATAAACTACATCCGCGTCCTGGGTGTGAAGATAAACTACATCCGACAGCAAGGCCTTTGTTCAGGAGGTTTTGAAGGAGCGTGGAACCATCTCTTAATTGCTGGTGTTTCCAGTTTCACTCTGACCCGGAGTGGCAGCACCTGTTAGGGTCCCAGCTATATGCAAATAGTTAACCCCAAACTGAAGTTAAAACACTATGAAAGTGTAAAAATACCTTTTAATAGCTGCAATAAACTTTGTAAAAAATTATTACCAGCAGTGATTTTTTAAGAAGAAATTATTACCAGCAGTACATTATTACCAGCAATACATTTTTGAGAAAAATATTACCAACAATAAAAATCTTGTCGGTATTAAATGACCCATTAAGGTGTTGATATGCCGCAAAACAAAACAAGCCAAACTTCTTGATTCTGGTTATTTTTTAGTCACAAATAAGTAACCTCTCCTCCTGAAAACTTCCGGTGTTTTTGGCCGGCTTCGGTCTTTTTCCTCTTTTTTATTTGAGTTTTGCCTTCTTGTAGTTTAAGAGAAGTATAGAAAAAGAAGTTTAGATAGATAGATAGATAGATAGATAGATAGATAGATAGATAGATAAAGTGATAAGGGTTTTAAAGTAAAGCGCAAACGCCTTATTTTAATTTGAATTCTTTTTATTTTTGATTTGTATATTTTATTTTTTTATATTTTTTATTTTTATCAGAATAGATAAAAATTGAATTTACAAATTAAAGAGAAATTGTTTGTTTAAATGTACAGATCAACGTATCTTTTAAAACCGTATTTCTTTTTATTAATAAGATTTTGTTTTGTTTTTACTATTTGTTAAATAGATTTATATTCACCTTTCATTTCGTTTGATTTTTAGATATATATTTTTTAAATTTTTACCTTCTTTTTGATTGAATTAAAGCAACGAGCAATTTATTTCTTGGCTCTATTCAAAGCTCATCGAATTTTCAGTAAATCGTCAAACAGCGCCCTCTGGATGCGGTTATGTAAAAATATATTTAAATTTCAGATATAGTCACAAATCCGGACATAGAAGCAATAAAAAGTGTTATTTTTTAAAATTTTTTAAATAATTCTTTTTCGTTTATTGAATGTAGTTTTTCATTAATTTCTC